TTATTTGTATCCATATCTGGCGTTATCTTGTTAATGGTTTTTTTGCGCAGAAACTGGTAGAAAATGACAAGCTGTTATTGTTGTTATAAATGTCGTCCAAAATGCATGTGATAATGTGATTAATTATTTTTATACAGCTACTGTAACAACTTGCGGCCAAATCTTCGTACGCTTCGTACACTTCGATATTCTTCCATCGTATTTCTTCCATGGATTATATATTCACGTATTGCTTTGCGTCTATTGCGGGGAGGGGAGGGGTGTATTACCTTAGCTAATTACTTACAAGGGTCACACAGCTACACAGCGCTCTCTCAGAGGCTCAAAGCATCGTTTAAGTTCGATGTTAGCATAAGTTTAAGAGCATGAATAGTATGTAATGCAATCATGAGTGTATGTGTAAGAACTACGTTACAGATTCTATACATATGTTCGTGATATAAGCCGTAGTACGTGTATCAGAAGTAGGTAATATGGATTACTTCTGACGTGTATGTAATGTTATCAGGGGTGTATAATATATATAGTCTATATTATGTATAATCTATTATACACTCCTAATGTTATTGTACCTGTGCGACGAGGAATTCCGTGGTTGTTGAGGATCGAGGTTGTGTGAAACAAAAACAGGTTGTATGATGCGCTGTGAAATGTATGTTGGAACTCAATTGAAGCTATATTATTCGCACTCTAATCACGTTGAATGTTAAAGTATTAATATCTATTACGTTATTGTGTATAGCGGTGTAATTTGTTGCGACGATGTGGCGTCGTGGTTGTGCATTCTCGCTCTCGTGCAGAGGGACATAGTTTCTATTTTCTAAACTTTGAATTCTCTTTTGAAAGTTTACATACTGTTGAGCAGTTGCGGGGGGAAGTTTTTTTATATATATGTGTATTTCCTACTCGTCGCGTGGAATCGGAGTCATTTTTATAGTAATGGTAATGGGGTTGTGTGACTATGGTTATGAGTCAGTTGTAGTCAGTATAGCATATTCTGATATTCATCCGACCATCATCTATTCACACCTGCAGCGAAATCGCATTTAATATAATGTAACAGGTGCAACTTATAAGTTTACAATTATATGTGATTAAGGGACCGTTGTTCGCAAGATCATGATTAGTTATGACCATAGAAATAATATACTAGTTAGCCTATACTGTTATACTACTATAGACTTAGTATAGACTATTTAGAATGTACTAGGTGGCTGTGTATTTCTATGGTTATGACTATCATGTATCCAAAATGTCGTGTTTTTGTCATAGTATTAACAAAAAAATTACAAGTTTATAAGGCCTAATCTTTGTAACAACGGCCAACCAATAGGCCTATTATCAGGTGTGTATAATATAGACTATATTAGTCTAGTCTATTAGTCTATTATACTAGTCTATATTATACACTCGTGATATTTATCATAAATGTTTCTCTACCGGCGTGTTATAGTGACTTATACATACATTCCATGAGCTAAGACACGCTTAGTCTCGTTTCTTGTTATGAGTGTATGTTTATAAAACTGTTGTCATGGTAATGAGTGATCAGGAGTTTTTTTTGCGGCGAACGGAAAATGTTTTGTGAGGTGTCATCGGTTGTGAGTGGACGTTAACTGGCAAGTATGCGGAAGCAGACGAAGTTCTGGCAGCGTGTTGCCACTCGTTATTCGCCTATGCAAAAGTTTGATCAAGCTTATATATAACATGGCATGCATGTGCATCGGGGAAAATATCGCTATTATAGCAGGGCAGCCAGACGTGATTTTATATTTTTATAGATCAAAATCTTTTCTGCTTCAAATATAATAATGGAACGTTCGTTACACACTGTTAAACTTGTTATATCAACTGTTATGTTGAAAATGTGTCTAATCCGGTATTAATATCTATTGACTTGAATGCGAATTTAACAAACGTGACGTTTAAAAATTTAATCAATTTTAAATTCGCTTTAATTTATGCTACTAATATAACTACTAACATGTTTTTCTATAGTAGATCTTCTTGTTTGGTTTTAGTTGTCATAATTAATAGTGACTTTACCACCTTCATCTTCTATCGCCTTCTCCTCATCCTTTTCCTCCTCCTTTTCCTCTTCCTCCTCTTCCTCCTCCTCACTCTCTTCCTGCTCCTCCTCCTACTTCCTAAATCACCGTCAGCGGTCATTGTGTCCGTAACCATAGATACTAACCCAAGGGGGTTAGCACTACCCCCCCTTGGGTTAGTATCTATGCCGTAACGACGGTACCACTCACAGTGAATGATTCTGTTTGTCTTTTTAAATGCACCGATTATAATAATACGTGTGCTTATTACTTTGTTTATATTAGCTTGTTTACTTTGTTTATATTAGCTTATTGGTTTGTTTATATTAGCTTGTTTACGAAACCGAGACTCAACATTACATGAATTGCTCTGTTGTCTGTACATTCCTGTAGCGGGAGTAAAGGGCTACACGGGTATAACTATGTTGATCGTACATCCTTGCAGCGGGAGCGAAGGCCTACACGGGTAGAGCTATGTTGATCGTACATCCCTGTAGCAGGAGCGAAGGCCTACACGGGTAGAGCTATGTTGTTCGTACATCCCTGTAGCAGGTGCGAAGGGCTGCACGGGTAGAGCTATGTTGATCGTACATCCCTGTAGCAGGAGTGAAGGGCTACACGGGTAGAGCTATGTTAATCGTACATCCCTGTAGCAGGAGGGAAGGGCTACACGAGTAGAGCTATGTTGTTTATACATCCCTGTAGCGGGAGTGAAGGGCTACACGGTTAGAGCTATGTTAATCATACATCCCTGTAGCAGGAGTGAAGGGCTACACGGGTAGAGCTATGTTGATCGTACATCCCTGTAGCGGGAGTGAAGGGTTACACGAGTAGAGCTATGTTGTTTGTACATCCCTGTAGCGGGAGCGAAGGGCTACACGGATAGAGCTATGTTGTTTGTACATCCCTGTAGCGGGAGTGAAGGGTTACACGAGTAGAGCTATGTTGATCGTACATCCCTGTAGCAGGAGTGAAGGGCTACACGGATAGAGCTATGTTGATCGTACATCCATGTAGCGGGAGCGAAGGGTTACACGGATAGAGCTATGTTGTTTGTACATCCCTGTAGCAGGAGCGAAGGGCTACACGGGTAGAGCTATGTTGTCTGTACATCCCTGTAGCGGGAGTGAAGGGCTACACGGATAGAGCTATGTTGTTTGTACACCCCTGTAGCAGGAGTGAAGGGCTACACGGGTAGAGCTAGGTATGTCCGTCCGTACAAGCAAGTGTGACAACGCCAAGCCTCGCCAATCTGTACAACACCTGTACTTAGGTCATTCTGTACAACACCTGTACTTAGGTAATTCATAGTCGATACGCTACGATGGGTAGCGCTAGGAGAATATCAAATGACGGAAGCAGCGTAAAACTGGTTTGGGGAGTCAAAGGTCAAGAGTAAAAAAATCTATACTAAGATTGCAGCTTATAAATTCTGCAAACTGCCAGAAAATTTCTATGTGCTACTGCCCCCTACATGTGCGGCTGCAAAACGCAGGGGCGGGAAGATAACCGCGGAATTATTTGTTCAGAAAGTTAGTTTAGACTTTTGGCAAGAGACGACATTTTATTTTCGTACGTATATACAAGCATTTACACAGTAAATGCAATTCATATCATCACGAGTAGGTAATCTAAATCTCATCTGCAGTATTTTCAGACTTGTGGTAATCTACTTCAGTAGACAAGGATATCCATTTTACGTGTTCATTATACAATACAATACAATACAATACAATACAATACAATACAATACAATACATACATTATACAGTACAATGAATCATAATACAAGATATCCATTTTCCTCGAGAGGATATCTATCTTGTCTCGTGTGACGAACCAGTGGGAGACCCAACTAAACGGGAACGACGCTCCACATGTCCACCCGCTACGTCGCTTACACGTTATATAGCATCGTGTTTTCACATACACTCAGTATGACATCATGAGATCCAATAAACGAAAACCTGCAGTGATATGTGTCCACACTCCAGCGCAACAAATCAAAGTGTGTTATTTTGAGATTGTCGGCTTATCCAAAGACACTAAAAGAATTAATATCTCTAGACTAATTCTTCTAGTATCTATAGTTAATTGGGTTTAATCAAGAGCTAATAATACATATTACATTTATTAGAATTACGTAATGTATTAATAGTTCTTGTTTTTATCCTAGTATCTATAGCACGAATACGTCAACAAATGAAGTACACTCGCTGGTGGCGTTAAACGCATTATCTTATAACAGACATTTTTATGAACATCGTCATCATCATCGTCACAGTCATCGTCATAGTCATCACCATAGTCATAGTCATCATCATCATCATCGTGATAGTCATCGCCATAGTCATCATCATCGCCATAGTCATCATCATCGTCATAGTCATCGCCATAGTCATCATCATCATCATAGTCATCGTCATTGTCATAGTCGTTGTCATCATCATCGCAGGAACTCGGGCACTTTGTAGCCGAACATGAGAAAGTCTGGTAGGTACGTCTCGTAGACTTTCGCCACGAGTTCCCGCGGGAGGGCGCCATAGTAGCGCTTCAGCTGCGCGGCGGTGCTGCCATTCTGCGGCGAGGAGAATGAGTATTTACCGGACAACTTAACGTCGTCGTCGATCCCTGCCGCCGCCAGGAAGTCGCCGCTCTCCTTCTCCATGTTCTCGTACTTGCCGATAAAATCGTAGTCGGCAATGCACGGACTGCACAGGTGGGCGAACAACGCCCAGTGCTCGTTGAACAACCTCGGCTCGGAATCGACGAGATATTGCAAAAACTCCCGAAAGGTGACGCGTCGGTCGTTGCCGACCGTGCGGCCAGCGTTCGCGGCGACGGCGCGTCGGTGCTTCTCGAAGTCGCCGACGTCGCCGTCGTGGTCGAGTTTGTCTCGGTATGCGCTCAGCAGACGAGTGAACGGATGCCGGACGAAGATCAGCTTGCGATAGCGTCGCATGATGTGCGCGCGCGTGCGAGCGTCCAGCGCCGACAGTCGATGCAGCAACCCCGCCGCCATGGCGCGACGATGCACGTTAACACCCGACATCCGATCCAGCCTCGCGGCGGTGACGATGACGTCATCGCGCGGGGATGCCGCCGCCGCACGCACGGCGAGCAGTATCCGCTTCCAGCTGGTCGAGGCGACCTTCGGGATCGCGCAGTATGCGAAGCTGTGCGCGTCGTCGGCGTACGTGTGCGTGAGATAGTTGTAGTTTTTGCCGCCGAACGTCGCGTTGGCGTAGCGCTGAGCGCAGACGCGTCGCACACGCTCTCTCCGCTGCCGGTAGATGGTGCTGGCGTCGCGCAGCTGCTCGTAGATGGCGCCAGTTACGTGTTGATGCTCGTAGATGGCGCCAGTGTCGTGTTGATGCTCGTAGATGGCGCCAGTGTCGCGTCGCTGCTCCTTGCTGATGACATCGTTCACGTCGTTCGTTAACGGTTCAGAGATATCTGAGATATCAGAGATATATGTATATACACAATTATCCATTCATGATATATACAAATATGTATACAATACAATATGTTTCTCTCTCTCTCTCTTTCTGTGTGTGTGTGTGTGTGTGTGTGTGTGTGTGTGTGTGCGTGTGTGTGG